AGGGAGAAAGGAAGGAAGGAAGGAAGGAAGGAAGGAAGGAAGGAAGGAAGGAAGGAAGGAAGGAAGGAAGAAAGAAAGAAAGAAAGAAAGAAAGAAAGAAAGAAAGGAAGGAAGGAAGAAAGAAAGAAAGAAAGAAAGAAAGAAAGAAAGAAAGAAAGAAAGAAAGAAAAAGAAAGAAAGAAAAAGAAAGAAAGAAAAAGAGACAGGAAGGAAGGAAGGGAGGGAGGGAGGGAGGGAGGAAAGAAGTGACAGAGAAAAAAACACCTGGTCACCAACACCAAGCCCAGGACAGCATATATCACCCCCATGCCCATGTCTGGCACCACGGCAGTCTCTTCCACCCACATGGCTACAGGGGCTGAGAAACGTCCTCTCTTCCACTGATGCCTCCTGTGGCCCCGATCTCCACAGCTCCTCTCTGCTGCTCAGAGGACAATCCCACCCGGCCACCACCACCACGATGACAGCTACCTGGCAGCAGCTGCTCACATTACCTCCCCGCTGCCCTGCAAACACTAGAGCCACCTCTGTCCCGATGCCCTACAGGAAAGGGGCTGCGGCCTTTGGGCCATGCACCCAGCCTCTGCTGCCGCCACCTCCCCTCGCCAGGAAGGAATCTTCCCACTACTACCCTCCTTCCTCGTGCACTCCCTAGGGCAGACCGCAGCCAGGCAGGAGCTGAGCCAGAGCCAGAAGACTCGGGGCCAAGGACAGGGCCAGAGCTCCTAGCTCCCAGAGAAGACACCCGGCCTACCACGGGAAAAGTCCTGGACACAAACAGAGGGAGGTGCTTGAATCAGCTCCATCTCCAGCACCCCCAGACCCCACTCAGCTGGGGTGTGGTGCGCCAACCCCAACTCCAGAGGCAGCGTAGAGGCCTGTCTCGACGCTCCGCGCCAGGTGCTCACCTGCCGGCCGCCGTGGTACTGCTGGCTTTCTTGGCCGGGCCCTTCTTCTGCTGGGCCTGCTTGGCGGCCGGGGCGGCCTTGGCCTTCTTCTCCTCCTCAGACTTGGCCTTGTGCTTCTCCTTGTCCTTGTCCTTATCCTTCTTCTTCTTCTCTTTCTCCTTCTTCTCCTTTTTCTTCTTTGGTTTGTTCACTGGGGCCTGAGACAGGGCGGCTAGCTGCTCGTGCACGGCCTTCAGCTGGAAGAGAGAGGGCAGCTGAGCAGGCTGCAGGCAAGACTCGTGCACAGGGCACCCCTGGGGCTGTTCCCACTGTGCAGAGCCGGCAGGAGCCAGGCAGCACCTGCCCTGGGGACCCAGAGACAAGGGGGACACCACACAGCTGGCTCTGCCCCCATGTGCCTGAGTCCTTTCATCTTCCAAGCCTCAGCGCCCTGACAGAAGGGCACACAGGCGCCCACCTCCCAGGCGACAGGCTCGGCGCAGAGCGCCGGCACAGGAGGCGCTGAGTCCTTGTTGCTCATCACCTCTCTCCCGACAAGGGAGAAGCTAGAGATTCAGGCACCTGTACCAAGGACACTCCGAGCCCTTGCAGGTGCTGCATGCCAAGGCTGCAGTGCCAAAGTGAGCTGGGCCCCCAGCTCGCCTCTTCCTGGGGCCTGACCGCCACTGGCAGACGCTGCAGGGTTTGTGTGCTGTCACTGTAGTAGCTGCCTCCTGGCAGGGACAGTCACCACAAGCCCAGCCCCCAGGCTTTCTGGGAGGGGTACGCAGAGGACCCTGCCAGCCCTGTGGTTGTACCAAGAAGTCCTGCCAGCCCTGGTGACTGCTCTGTTCAGGCCCAGCCCCTGGGAACCTGCTTCCCAATCTGATCCTTGCAGCTCTTCTCCTCCTGACTTGGTGGCTCTGCTCCGTCCCCTCCCTGCCTGAGGGCCCAGAACTGCACAGCTGGTGGCTGCCAAGGGCCAGGAAAGGCAAGCTGCGTCTCTCGATTTAGCATCAGCTCCGCATCACAGATGGAGAGAGGAATGTCCATAGCATGAGTGCTCCTGCAGGAAGCCCCGCGGCCAAGGAGCCCCAGCTCTGACGCACACATAGCAGGGCTCGCGGAGGCAGAGGGCAGCCGAGCAGGTCTGGGCGGCTAGGTGCTCACCTGCTCCTGCAGCTCAGCCAGCCTCGTGGCGCGCTCCTCCTCCGAGTCTGAGCTGCCCGAGTCTGACGAGCTCTCCTCACTGCTGCGGCTGCTCTCGGTGCCCTTGCTCACCACCGGGGCCGCGGGCGCAGGCAGTGCGGGCACCTCCATGGGCTCATCTGGCATCTTGGCGAACCTCATCTCAAACACGTCCTGGGAAGGGACAGGGGCTGCCCTGAGGACTAGATGCCCACAGGACAGGCCCTTGGCATGGCTAGCGGTCCTGAGAGGCCCTCGAACTGTACCGGTGGCTATGCACAAGGTCAGGTCCTGGAGATCGGCCTGGCCCACCTGGGGCACTGGCCTGGTTAAATGGGAGGCTTTCTGTGGGAGACACAGGCATCCCTGCTCATGACAGGAGTGTGCCTCCAACAGGGACCCTGCACGTGACACTCTGAAGGCTGTTTCACCTTCTCACCACCCAGTCCCTTCCCTGGGTCCCAGGGTGTCGTCTCCTGCACCGTTAGCCCTAGAGTCACCTAGATGCCTCTGAGCACTGGTGTGCAGCTTGGCAGCAGAGCGCTCTCCCAGCACCTACAAAGCCCTGGGTCTGGTCCCCCAAAGCTCCAAAAAGCCCCCCGCTAGCTCCTACAAAAGCCCCTCCTGGTAGACACCCCTGTGCCCTGGAGCTGTCCAAGGTGAAGGCAGACACATGCCTGGCCACGAGGCCACGAGGGTCTATGCCAGCCCCCCAATACGCTACACCATCCACCAGGCTGCAGGCAACTTCCCAGAGCCCGCTCTCGTGCTAGTCCCCCCCATGTTCTCTTGGAGCAAAAACAACCCAGAGATGCTGAACCTGAGAGCCTTGACCCAGGAAGCCACTTGGGCAGTGGCTTTGGTACTAGGGTGCAGCCGTAGCCCACTTCATAAAGCTGCCGGCAAAGCTGGATATGCAGTGCACACCAGTAATCCCAACACTCTGGGAGGCTGCAGCAGCAGGATTGAGTCCAAGCCCAGCCTGGGCCACTAGTAACTTAGCAAGACCCTGTCATTAAAAAATAAAGGGCTGGGGACACAGCTCAGTGAAGGGCCTGCGTTCAAAGTCCGGGCTGAGCAGACCTGCCTCAGGCCAAGCACAATGGGCAAGTCATCGCAGACAGACGGGCATCCCAGGCCTTCCTCTGCCAGCGCCAGGGAAGGTCTCACGGGGCCATGTGCAGGAAGGAGGCAAGAACATCAGCAGGACCTCGTTTCTATCCTCATAACTCAGGATGATGACAAGGGCAATGTCACAGCGACCACAGAACAAGGCTGAGCAAGGAGTTCAGGAACTAACAACACCTCACGAGACGCAGAACCTTGTCACTGGGTTGTTTTTCACTACTGAGGATTGAACCCAAGGTCCCTGCACTGAACATCTCCAGTCCATTTTTAAAAATTTTACTTACTCATTTATTTTTGTGGATTTTTAAGACAGGGTCCTGCTCGAACCTTAACCTATCCCTTCCAGGAGAGTCCTTGTCTGCCCCATGTGTGCTTGATACGTGACCTGCTTCTCATTTGACCCCCATTTCATCAGTGTTACCTAAGCAACTGTACTTGTTGTAATCTTATTGGCTCACCACAGTTTTGTCCCACCTCACACCCATCTTGTGGCTTCCCATTGGATCAATGTTACCTAAGCGACTATCCTTATAATCTTATTAGTTGGTTATATCTCTGTCCCACCTTGAACCCTCAACCTTGTGGCTTCACTCAATAAAACACCCCTGAGAAGCAGGGTTGGTGGAAAATCCACTTTCCAGGCCCCCTCTACTCCTCTTAGACAGAAGCTTTCTTTTGGTTAAGTCACTAGGTTGTCCAGGCTAGCCTTGAACTTGCAATCCTCCTGGCTCAGCCTCCTGTAGCGCTGAGGTTACAGGTGTGGGCCCATGCTCAGCTGAAACCTATGATTATCTTTTCCTCTGAAAGGAAAGTCTTTTGATCACATAAGCTCTGAAGTGTAAGCAAACACCCTGCCCCATTGACTCCAAGAGGTGAATGAAAAGGAGCCTATGCACAGCACCAGACTTCAGCACTGAGGTGTGGCACATGCATGTGCCTTTGCGTGGACATCCCTAAGCCCTGGTGCCGACAGCCGGACTGTGACACTCCCTGCCTTCCCACAAAGCCTGGACTTCCTACACACCTCCAGCACAGCTTCCTTCTCTGTCAGAAGAGCCAGGGCTGCATCGCAGCTGTCATCTGGTGCAGCCCGAGCCTCAGTGCACAGTGCCCTCACGAGCGGGGCACGTCACCGGGCCCTGCCTGCTCGCGGGCCACTCCCCATGTTACCTGCAGCTCCTGGGGCCGCCAGCGCTGAGCCTGGCAGCCTGTCACCACCACTCAAGGACAACGGGCTACACGAGTGACACCCTCCTGGGTGCCCATTCCATGTCCAGGGCCCCAATGCCTCCAGTGCCAACCGCAGCTTCTAATGGCACCCATGCCCAGCCTTGGGTTACCTGGAGCTTCCTGGCCATGGCCACCACTTCGTGGTCGGGAGGATTGTACTTATAACAGTTTGAGAACATTAACCGGATGTCAGCGGCGAAGCCCTGTGCGTCTGGGTACTCGCGGCTGTCCATCTTCCTCTGCAACACACAAGGACACGGCATGAGTGGGCAGGCCTGGCGACCACAGCACCCCAGCTGATCTGTGAGGACAGACGGACTCGGGATCCTCAGGACATCCACCGCCAGCCTGGACATCCGGTTTGGCTCTCTCCGGCCTCGGCTCTGGGAGCCTAAAGGGAGGGGACAGAGGTAACTCTTGGAAAGGAGTGTAGGACCCTGGGGGAGAGCCTCCACTCGAAGAAAAAGGCACTCAACAAGAAAGCCCAATTCCTACAGCCACCACACAACCCCTTCCTTGTGCAGCACTGCCATCCGCCGCGACTGGGGGCGGGTACTGTGCAGGATTCTGGAAGACGTCGCCTCCACAGCCCAGGACTGCTCGGCTTACAGAATGAAACCCTGCTTCCTGCTGTTAAAGAGTCCAGCTCGGTGTACACCCCAGCGTCCATGCCAGTCCAGGTCCTGGCAAGGCCTGTGAACCGCAGTGAGCTGGCCATCACAGGGACCCACAGGCGCGTCCTCAGACCACAGAGGCCAAGGCCTGGGCATGCTTGGCGGCAGTCACCTGGGTAGCCACGCACAGCTGGGCTGAGTGACACGCGGAGGGCAGGAGTGGGCTAGGGGACAGCTCAAGTTGGCGGCCGAGAACAAACTGAAAATTTGGGCGAGATAAACTGCTTATGAGCAGCGAGTCCCGGACCAGGGGGGATTCAAGAAGAAACTGGTAGTCAGGAACCTCAAGAGGGAGGTGGACAAGCTGGGTGTAGGATCTGGTCAGTCTGGGCCCCAGTCCCAATCCCAGAACATGCCCTGGACCCTCCAGGACACGCACGCCCCTGCAGATGGCTGGCTGGGAAGATGCTGGGGCACAGCAGCATCTGTAGGCCTGCTGGCACCAGTGGAAGTCTTAATTCCGGTTTTCGCCTGTGCCAGAAGAGCTACCACCACCCCCACCAGCTTGACCTTCGAAATCTGTACTATCTCAAGGGTGTCCCTCCTTTCTGCATACATCAGCTTCACAAACTAAGGCTGTCTTTGCTGTTCCCTGCCAAGCTTTGTTCCCAAAAGGGCATAGCAGCAGGGCACAGTGGCGTACACCCGCGTGCCAGCTCCTCGGAAGGCGCAGGCAGGAGCAGCACAAGTTCGAGGCCCACCTAGACAACTCAGTGAGACCCTGTCCCAAAATAAAATTTAAGAAAGGGCTAGGTATGACTCAGTGGTAGACCACAAAACCCAGCATGAGCCAGGCCTTGAGTCCCATCTTCAGTACTGTTACTAAAATAAAGAAGTGGCAGTGGTGGTATTGCCAGGACTCGGGAGCCAGAACACACACATCACAACCTCGAGGTAAATGCGGCTGTAGTCCAAGCTCAGGCCAATCTGACCTGGGACAACGAAACAGGATGAACCAGTGCGATCCAAACCTGCAACCCTGGCCCAGGAACGCACTGCAATGCGGACACAGACGCAGAGGCCGTGGGACTGCAAGGAGGTTCCAGCAGCTTCCAGAGGTTGTGTGACTCCAGCCTCGGGCTCCCTGCCTGGGGGCAGCCCCTCCAGCTGACTTAGCTCCACACTTTACCTGAACAGGCAATGTGGACACCCACAACCGGGGGAGGGGGAACTCTGGCAGGAAGAGCTGCCTGCAGCCTGGCATCACTGCCACCAGCCTGAGCCAGCTCACTCCACTGACAGACGCCACCGCTGCGGCCTCGTGGGACATCTTGCCACGAGACACCGACACCCGCAGCTGAGGGATGCATCTCAGTATTGCAAACCTGTGCCAACCCCGAGAGTGGACCACAGCCCAGGCTCTGCCTGGTCATACAGAACAGGCGACAAGAAGGAAATAAACGGGACCATTGCCCGGGCTCAACCACAGCAAATAACCACAAATCCTCGCCTGTGGGACCACAACTCGCTCCTCTTCCACCCAGCGGCCTGGACAAAGCAGTGCTCATCCCAGGTGGCCGGGCCCCGGCCCCCACACGTACTTTGACAGTGCTGAGGTCCATGGGGTGCTTGATGATGTCGTGGTAATCGTGCAGCTCCAGTGCCTCCGCATCCACAGGCTTATAGAAGGGCCAGGCGTAGGCGGCATGCTTCTTGGACAGCATCTCCCTGAGGATGCTGTCACAGTGCCGCAGGTGCTCGGAGAGCTTGCCCTTCTTGCCCGCATGCTGTGGCACCTCACCATCCTCCAGGTCCTTCTTGGGGGGCTTGATGGGACGGCCCCCGCTCTCCCGCCGGGCCACCACCTTGGCCTGCTTGGGGTCCGACAGTGGCGGGGGGGACTCACTCCGGCTGGCAGTGATGGCGGACGTTGTGGGCGTCGTGGTGTCTGCTTTCCGCTTCACGCCCTTCTTCTGTAAAAGCAAAGCAACCAGTGAGCACCAAAAGCCAGGGCTGGACACGACTGCGGCAGCCATGCGTCTGGCCCACTGGCCAGGCCCTGCGCTCCGAGACCACATGCACGGTCTCGCCTCATCCTCCAGCTGTCCCCACAGTACACAGGACCCCGAGGCTCAGAGGGGCTAGGCTGGTGGCCTGAGGTCACACAGTGGCAGCGATGAGGCTGGGACTCTGAAGCCGGCCCTCACCAAGCCCAGGGCCTCTCTCCATCAGGCCGAGCACATGGCAGGCTGACTGGGCCATGCACCAGGCCCGGTGGGAGCCTTCACAGCTGCGTGCAATCCACCACTGACCCTCACCGGCTCCCGGGGCTGCAGGGGTGAGGAAGGCCTGCTTCTAAAGACCAGAAGGGTAGAGCCCCACCAGGCCCGACACAGGCAAAGTAGGACAGGCAGGTGGAGGAACATTCCAGGCTGGACGCGCAGGGCGGCCGACCAGGAGACACGAAGCAGCCACAGCAGGTTTGAGGCCGAGGGACCCTGAGGGGTTTGGGGGTGGCAGCGTCTCCACTCTGTCCTGCAGGCACGGTTAAATGAGGCGCTGCTCAGCTGTCCGTGGCGCCCTGCGGCAGACAGAGCCGGAGCAGCTCTCGCCCCAGGGCCCGAGCTGTGTCTCCCCGTGGCCGGCAGGGGTCCAGGGCCTTGACACAGCTCAGCAGGCCTCCTTCTCTCACCACAAGCTCCCGGGCCAGGCTGACAGCACCCAGGAGCTATTGTCTAGAGCCCCCATGATCACGGCCCCAGCCAAGCTGCCACCCTCAGGCTGGCAGGGGCACGAGCTGGCCACCCAGACACTTCCCGGGAACCCAGAGGAGGCCAAGCACCAAGCGCGTGCCACAGAGGGCCCGGGGAGGGGCAGACTCATCCGGCCGTGGCAAACGGGACATGCTCCAAAAACCGCCCCGTGCTGTGGGAGGGGCCTGGCCAGGTGCCGCCCGAGGTGCAGGCAGTGAAGGCCGCAGGAAGGGGAGAGCAATGGGGGTGGCATCTTTACCTTGGGCGAGCCATTTAACCCTGAGCGCCCGCTTCCTCATCTGTAAGAGGGGGACTACTGTCTGCCCCAGAGTGTGGCTGTGGGGATCAAATTGGAGAAGATAACACGCATGAGCGCCTCTCCAAAGGCACACAGGAGACTCCGGGGGCTCTGCAGGCCCCAACTTTCAGGGGCATCCACTCCACAGCGGGTCTGCATGGGGAGCTCTGGGGAGCAGGGAGTGGCCACAGCCCCCGACCACGCTGGGTGGTACTGCTGGCCACTGCGTCCCTCTCCCCGGGGTCAGTGGGGGAGACCTGTCCTTGCCAGCCCTCACTGCTGCCCCACACCTTCCCACCCTGACTGAGGAGCTGCACAAGCCACATCTGCCAGGCTAGAGAAGCCGGGCTCCGAGTCCAGCCCAGCCCTCACCAGCTGTGTGACCTCCAGCCTCAAGCCTCGGTCTCCCCATCTGCATAGAGCCTCTCCAAACATCAGCAGAGCCCCTGGCCACCCCGATCCTAACCAACTCAGGACCCCTGTGGGGCGTGGACCCCCAACCTCGCCAGCTGGCCACTTCAGCTGCAAAGATGCTCACCTTAACGACGGGTGGCGTGGGCGGGACCACAGGGACGATGGGTGTCGCGGGAGGAGGTGGTACGGCAGCCGGAGGGACAGGGACCGATGTGATGTTGGCGGTGATGGTTGGTACAGGGGTGGCAGCAATGACGGGTGTCTGGGAGACCGTGGGGGGCACATTCTGGAAGGGGGCCGCTGGGGACACCGAGGACACGGCGGCCACTTGCTGCGTACCTTCAGGACAGACAGGGAGCTCAGCACGGCAGCCCTGTCTCCACCTCCGGAAGTATCTAGGACCCCTCTCCGACAGCCAGCCAGGCCCCTTTCCCAAGACCTCGCCCAGCCCTGCACTTGAGGCAGTACTGGTCCAGACATCTTGGCTAAATGCTCCCTGCCCCAAGGAAAGGCCAACTCTAGCCAGAGACCAGGGGCTGGGAGAAGAGCTCAGGGCCAGCATCACAGCTTGGGGGCCAGAGCCAGCCTGGAGGGGGAACAGGGGCTCAGACTCCACCAGTATCAGCTGAGCACTTGGCTTCCTAACCATGCAGCTTGTCCCCACCACCTCCTGCCCAGGCAGCCACTCTGTGGGCTACATCTCCGGTCCACGCTCCCACTCCAGGCCAGACCCAGGGCGCACCCCTCGACAGGTACACAGTCCTCTCAACCAGGGAGCAGGACAGGGGACTGGGACTCTCAGGTCACGAAAAACACAACAGAAGCAAATCTGGAAGCGGAGAACAGGAAGACCAGCCAGTGACAAGGACACTGTCCTGACCCCAGGCCAGCTGCCTCGCCAACACAGACCACAGCCCACATGCAGCCCAGACCTGGCACCTGACACCCTGGGACACAGCCCGGGGGGCCAGGGACTCTGCCCCCGGCCACCCTGCCCACCACACCTGCCCTTTACCTGCATTCTGCGTCCCCGCAGCCGGTTTCCGGCCTTTGCCCTTCGGAGCAGGGGGTAACAATTCTACTTCCTCCTGGGGCATCTGGGCCACTTTCTGCAGAAAAATTTTCTCTAAGGCTTGGGCCATTAGCACTATGTCATCTGTGGGCTGAAGACAGAGAGCCCAGGTCACTCGCCGGGAAGGGAGACACACGCTGGCAAAAGACACTGTGTGTTTTAGCTCAAGAAAGCTTTTATTTAAAGTTTGTTAGATCTGATGGGGCAGGACGGGGCAAGGCAAATACATTGCAACGTGGAAAATCCTGGGAAAAGACAAGCATGAATAACAGAGACCGGGGGTTGCAGCTCTGTGGACAGCACATGTGAGGTCCTGGGTTCCACTGTGGGGAGAAACCCACCCTACAACACATCACAGAGAGAAAGAGGCTCCCTCAGCTCAACACAACCGTCACCTTTATTTAAGTCATGTCATTATTAAAAAATACCAAGCCAAGCCAGGCACAGTGGCACTCGCCTCATCCCAGCACTCAGGAGCCTGAGGCAAAAGGATCGCTGCGTTCAAGGACAGCCTGGGCTACACAGTGAGTTTCAGGCCAGCCTGGACCACACAGCAGGACCTTGTCTCAAAAACACCACCACGGAACTAGGCTCACACAGAACTTCCTCCTCTGTTCACTGCCAGGCACCTCTGCAGGCATTGGCTCAGGGAGGGTGCACTGTTGGCTCAGCCACCTCCTGCTGGCAGCTGGGCTCTCCTCCCCTCTGCACTGGTTCCTCAGGGTGGCTAAGGGTGGTCTTTAGGCCCAGGATAAAGACGTCTTAAAGTCCCTGGGCCATATCCAGGGTCCACGCATCCAGCTGCCCATCCGGGCAGCACACGGCCCTCCGGACCAGGACCAGGGAAGTGCCAAGCACCAGATGTAGCTCACTCTGACCCATTGAGCGCCAGCCAGCCACGGGCCACCCTACCAGGCCACCCAGGGACCTGGCCACACGCCTCGCGTCTTCTTACCTTGTTATAAATATAACAATTTGTAAACATGGTGTTGAAGTCCTGCATACATTCACTCGCACTCCAGTAATAATTATTTTCTAATCTCTTCTTAATAGTCCCCATATCCATTGGGTTTTTTATTATTTTATGATAATCCTAGGAGAGAGATGTTCAGGGGTGTTACCAATAGACTTATGCTGGCACTCAATGCTTCCCGGAGCAGCAATAGGACACAGGGGGACCTGGGAGTCAGCTGAGGGTGGGTGGGCGTGGGGTCCCGACTTCTGCCAAACCTCTCTCTCGTTCACAGAGGGACTGGAGCTGGGGCAGACCCAGCTGCTCTACGGCTCTAAACTCACAGGGAGCCAGGCCCCACACTGGGCTGGCCCCAGATCAAAACGAGGTGTAGCTGTGGAAACCATCACCCGGAAAGCAGGTTTAATGCACTTTGTACCTGACCACAAAGGCCTGACAGGCAGGCTAGGCAGGCCTCTGCTACAGGAATAGAGACCGGGCCTCTGTGCCTGCCCTGCCTGCCTTCTTGCACCACTCGTCCTCCAGGGTGGCAGCACTCCCCATTTCCTGTTCCTGGGGGGGCCACTCACCCTCCTGTACCTGTATGCCTATCCCTCCACCTGGGGGTCCTGACTGTCCCTATTGGACTGCATGCTTCCCGCTGCTCAGGTTGCCCTGGCTGAGGCTAGGAGAGGTCCGGCACGCAGGGCTACTCACAGGCAGGTTCAGCTTGATGGCGTCCACGGGCTGGTAAAAGGGCCAGGCGAACTGGTGCTTCCACAGCGTCTTCACCACCACGTTCTGCATGTACTGCAGCTGGTTGGTCTTTCGGCCGGGCTTGCCGGCGTTGGACACCTCGGGTGGGGGTGGGTTCACGGGGCCCGGAGCCGCCGGGATGCCCACAGGGGCGGCTGCTGTGGTGGCAGACATCCTCCAGCAGCTGCTCACTGTCCGTCACTGCCCCGGTGCATAGAGGCCCTGGTGTCTTCCGTGCTCCCTGAAGAGGCTTGGGCTCCCATTTCTGGGCCTAATCAGACACCACCTGCAGAGAGAGGGGCAGAGGGGCCATCAGCCTGGAGCCCACCCTCACCCTTAGGGGACACTGCCCAGTCCTGCAAGGCACTGGCTATCCCACCCACCTAGACATGCAGCTGTCACCTGTCACAGAGCAACTCTCCAACCACTGGTGCCCAACAGAGAAGACCTGGACAGTGGGGCAATCCGGGCGCAGCCCACCTGTGCCCAGGTGAAGTGTGGCGCAAGGACTCGTCTCACTGTCCACAGTGTCACCCACTTGTGGGCGGGCCAGCGTGTTCCTGTCACACCCTCCGCTATCCCCAGCCTCAGGCAATTCACACACAGAGAACTATAACAGAGATCCACAAGATGGACGGAACCAGCACAACCCCAACGTTCGCGGACCCTCACCCTGCACCGGGCGCCACGCAAGGTTCTACGGTAACCAGGAGAACGGCCAGGGTTTGTGATGGCAGCCAGCTGTGTCATGCAGGCCCTGGCCAATCAGGATGGCCAGAGAGGGCAGCATGGACCCTGCAGTCATCCTGTCTGTGTGCTCACATCCCAGGCTGTCTCTCAGACACTATGGGGACCAGGGGCTGGCCAGGAATGCCAGCCACACAGAGCTGAGTGGGCTGCAGCAGCCCCCCAAGTACTCAGAAAAGCCGGGGCTGGGAAGAAGCAGGAGTGCTGGGTGGCAGAGCCTGAATGCCGCCCCCGGTGCTCAGCCAGACCTCCTGCTTTCCATGGAGACAGCTATGTGTGTATGACGTGACCCCACTCCCACCAGCAAAGGTGGGGACAGACTTCACACGGCTCACATGGCCTCCTGGGGGCTAGGACTTGAGCTTCATGCAAGACACGTGCCAACGTTTAGGTCTCCCTGTGCTGTGTCTGCAGCACTTGGATGATAGGGGATGCACCCCAAGGGGCTGGCTGCGCCCCACTGCTCAATCCAGCCACCTTTCAGACTGGTGAGAGAGAGCCGACCAGTACTGCTGCAGCCCAGGTTCTGAGAGCCGGCTGACGTCCCGCCCCGCGGCTGGGGTGGGTGTGCTGACACCACAGACTCGGCAATGCTGTACACCACGCCTCTTCACCCTGAAGCTGGGTGCTGAGCGCCCGCGCCCACTCCTGGCAGGTTCGCAGCCTCCTACACCCTGCTACAAGCTGCATCTCCTCTGTACCCTCCACCAGGAAGTGCTGTGGACACAGGGCAGGTCAGCGGCTCGAGGGGACAGAGGCCCCTCCAGCTTATACCACAGCCCACAGGTCAGGTCCCGGGTGCGAGCTGGGGTCACCCTTGGAGTCTTCTCGCAGCCCCAATGGTCCCAGGCCACGAGGTAGCTCCTGCCCTAGCACCACCACCTCTCTTGGAGACCCTGGTGACAATGAGGCCCAGCAGCAGCAGGGCTCCCATCTTTGTGATGATGGACAAAGCCCCAGGGTTCCACCTGGCTCCTCCTCCCTCCTGACCAGCCAGTGACCTGGGACCTCGCCGGCACCCAAGCAGCATGCAGCTGCAAAGCAGATGCCAGCGCAGCCTCCACCCTGACCTGTGCCTCTACCTTCCCAGAGGGCTCTTAGGTGACTGCGGCTGGGGGAACCAGGAGCCTGGGGGTGGACAGCATGTGAGGTCCCGGGGTTCATGGCCAGTCCCCCTACCGCACAGCCCAGGGACCGACCTAGGGGATAAGCAGTTCCAGCAGGGGCTGTGGTGCACGCAGGTTCCCCTCCCACCTCCCAGCCCTGGGACCCAGAGTGAACGCCCAGGGACCCCTGCCTAGCAGGAGAGCTCAGTGGGGCCAGGGGAAGGGGCTCCAGGTAAGATGCCGGCCTGGCTCTGCCCTCAACTGACCAGGCCACAGCCCCATGAGGGAACCAGAGGAACCAGAGGAACCCAGGGAACCAGAGGAACAAAGCGACCCCCAGGGCAGGACAAAGGTGACAGAAGGTGGCTTTCTGGCCCAGCACAAGGGATGCTTCCAGAAAGCGTAATTCAACAGACTGTGGCCCGAGTTGAACCAGCACAAATGAGCAAACAGCATGCAGGGGTGCCAAGCAAGACGAAGGGGCTGGCATGGTCTGGCAGCAGCCCTGAGGACCCTCCCAGTGAGAACACTGCAGCCAGGTGCCCGGGCCACCAGCCCAGCGGGATCATCATCCCCAGCGGGCTCAGCTCCCACACAGGGTGAGGTCTGTGGAACAAACCAGGGAACAGCAAGACGCATAGACACCGAGGACAGAATACAGGTCAGAAGCCTCGCGCCCATGCTGCAGCCCCTCCTGCTATACCTCTAGGGGACTAGAAATGTCACAGCACGGGGACGGGGGTGTGCAGGACCCTGTGTCTCCCCATCCTGGGGCCCTTGAATGACAGGTGACCCTCGCACAAGAGGACCCACAAAGCCGATGGACACGGACACAGAGCAGCCTAGGACGTGGACACATGGCTGTGGAGAGGGACACGGGCACCAGGGTGTAAAGCCCAGCCCCCATCACAGGCCAGGCTACTGAGCCCCTGAGGAGTCTCACCTATGAAAGAAACAAAGTAGCTAGGCACAGTGGTGCACACCTGTAATCCCAAATACTCAAGAGGCTGAGGCAGAAGAGATGCAACTTTGAGGCCTGCAAGTCACCTCAGGGACAGAGAGTTTATGTCAAAATTTTAAAATGCCTAGGTTATAGCTCAGGAGTAGAGCTCCCCTGCGTTCAACCTTCAGCACTACAAAGAAAAGAGAAAAAGAAAAGCAAAGAAAGACACAGGAGGTCTGAGCTCTCAGAGGCACAGCCAGCATTCGGCAAGGGGCTCCGTCACAGCCCAGAGAGAGGAGAGGTCTGAGCTGTAGGGTCGCTGCTCCCCTACCACACGGTGGTGTGAGGCAAAGGACACCCTGGCCAGTGGCTGGGTGACAGTGGCCTGGCAGGGTAGACAGGAGTGTCCCCAGCTCACAAAGGGGAGAGACCTAGGTCACCCCAGGGGCGCATGTGATTTGCAGACATCCGGCACACATTTGCCCCAAGAGAGCACACAGCCTGCCCTTCTCCTGGATCCAGAAACAGGGCATCCAGCGGCAGGGCCGGGAGAAGCCACCCCCTCACCTTCATGTGCCCATTGCGGCATGGCCCAACTCAAAGCCCCTGGTCCCACCTGGGCCTCCAGTGGCCACTGGCAACCTGTCAGATTTCAGAAGGCCAAACCTGGGCACAGGGCGTTCCACAGGAGGTGGGGCGTCCCTCCTCCACACCTGCTCCACATCAAGCTGGGTCCTGCAGGGAAACCCACCCCCAACCAGGCAGCCTGTTCTCTCATACAGAGGGCACTACTGCGAGGGTCAGGAAGAACTTCCACCTCGGGCTGTGGGACGTGTGGGACAGTGCCCCACACCCACACACAGCGGGAGCCAGTTTGCTAGCGCTTGCTGGGGAGCGGACGGAGGGCGCGGACCACGCACATGGACTGAGCATCGGATCAGCGCTGGCATCGGTGCTGATGCTTTGTGACAGTATCGCAGCCGCAGCTCCGTGGTGTCCTCTTTTACACACAAATTCTCAGAGTCCCGCAGAGGGGCTATGCCTGGAACTCACTGCTGGTGGGGAGCTGGAAGCAAAGGGGGATCGGTGCCCCCACTGTGGTCACAGCTGCCGCCCACGGCACACGCAGAAGGGGCACTGCCCACACCCACACCGGGGTGACCTTGCTCCCTCCAAGAAGCCTGGGAGGGTGAGATGGACTCAGGCGGGGTGGGTGGGACAGGTCTGCAAGTCCAGACCCAGGAAGTTCACACCTGCAAGCCACAGGTCTCCAGTGCACCCCACCAGCCTCTGGGGACGGGCGTATTCTTGCTCCTCCTCTGGGGTGGAAAAGGGAAAGCGTCAAACCCAGGGCAGCGATATCCCACATTCACACCTCATGAGACAGAGCAGCAGGCAGTGGCCGGCTCACCTCGCCCTCTGCGTAGCCACTAGGCCCCAGACAGCGGGCATCTGTGGCATCCCGCCTGCCCCACCGGGGAAGCGGCTGCCTCCGGGAGGCCTGAGGCCACAGGCCAGGGGCCAGACATGATCCTGTCACTCTCCTGAACCTGCTCTGGCCAGGCCAGCGGGTTAGGGAAGGAGCCGCCTCAGAGCAGGAGACTGAGCCTGAGACCCTCCCCGAGGCCCACGGCCCTGTCCTCCTGTGCAGCAGGTGGCCAACTGAGGAGCCTATGCCCTGGCCTCCCAGACGCTGCCCGCCGGGCCCAGCAGAGGCGGGGAGGCTGTGGTACATGCGAGTAGGTGAAAGTCAGCTGCCTTCAACGGAAGCTCCAAAAGCACCCAGGGCGGAACTCGTAAACCACAAGAGACTTGAGCTCAGGGAAAGCCCAGGTCAGTGTCAAGACTGCCCGCAGCACCTGCACAGCCTCCCACTACTGACAGTGCCGTGCCTGCCACGGACACCCGCAACCCCAGCAGGAGCCTGCAGGACAGGCCCAGCACAGGCCAGGCCGTGCTGGACAGGGAGCAGACCTAAATCCTTGATGATGGCCTTGGGCAGGCCGCCTCCCCCACCCCTCCCCAGGTCTGGAATTCAGCTTTCCTGCTTTCCTCCTCCACAGAGCAAGAACACCTAAAAGGTAAGCGGACTCCCAGCCCCCAAGGCTCAGCTGGCCCAGGGAGACGAATCAACAAACAGAGAGCCAGGGCTACATTAGGGGCCAGGACAGCCAGGGGAGGGGCAGGGACCAAGCCACTGTCACCGCGGGAAACACCCAGAAAGACGGGTAGGAGCCCTGCCGCCCATCAAGACATGGGGCCCAGCACTTCCCACAGGGACCCCGACAGCAGCTCCGCCAGATTCCCCAGAGGGCAAAGGGGGGACGCATCCCCCACTCCACGTCCTGCATCAGTCTGGGCAGGGAGAAGCTGCCCAATTTCTGGCCTGGCCCGCCCGTGGAGCAGGAAGCCCATTCTTGGGGCCAAGGGAGAAAGGAGTCCCCCTTCCAGGACAACTCGAGCCCGGAGGACTGCCAGGGAGGGCCGACCCAAGTCCACAGGAATCCACAAGCACCGGTGAACAGGCAGGGTACCAGGCACACCAGGGAGGAGGTGCCAACATGGACTAGATGCCAGAGGGTGCTGACAGCACCGGAAGGACAGACAGCAGGGCAGGCAGAGGTGGAAGAAAGTCCGGGTCCCCATCTCAGTCAGACCCACGGCAGCCGTGACTCCCCACCTGTCCTGCTCAAGCCCGCCACCATCACAGCCACGGACACCTTCAGAGAGGCAGTCTCCTGTGGTGGCAGAGGCGGAGCTCACTCTCCCCACATGCCTGGGGATCACTGGACCCCGAGGACTCATACACGAGGTCTCTGTACCCCCGAATACCTCCCAGGTTCCTGGATGCAGTGGGTCCCTCTCATCTTGGACCTCTCTGCCCCTCAGGGTCCCAGCAGCACTGCAAGGCCCCATACTGGCTCTGCTTTCCAATCAGGAGAGCTCTGAGGAGAGGGCACAGGCACGAAGCCACCCAGCCAGGAGGAGCCACAGCCAGGCTTGTATGGGGCTGCCCTCCCAGCACCGGATCCACACCCTCCCCAGAGAATTCCTGCCACCACGCCAAGACACTCTGGCCCAGCACAGGGAGCCCAGGGGGCAGCCACCCTGAGCCAGACCCCAAGCCTGGAAACCAGATCCACAAGAACAAGCAGCTCTGCTGACGGACAGAGCCAACTGCTTCCTTCTGTGCTGCCCATGAGGAATGGGGTCCAGGGCCCCAGGGCGGGGCAGACAGGCACATGGGCAGGGACTCCTGGCCCTGCAGCCAGAGCACCCCAAGCTCGACCCGGCCTAGGCCACACCCACCCCCAGCAGCTGCCCAGCCCTCCTGGCAGGGGCACCAGCCCCAGCAGGCCCAGCCCTCCCATGCAGGGCGGTACCACTGTCACCGCAGGATTGGCTTATGGTAAGCAGCTGCCGTTCCCTCATGTCCCCTCACCTGCACCCCTCACCTCTGTGAGACACCATGCTGCAGTTCTGGGTCCCACAACAAACAAACAGACACAAAACAACCCTTTACAACTGAGGCCAGATGTGGGAGCACACACCTGTAACCCCAGCACTCTGGGTGGCTGAGGCAGGAAGATCACAAAGTGCCACAGGGGCAACTCAGGAAGACTGTCTCAAAGAGACAAGGGACATAGCTCACTGTGAAGGTCCTGGGTTCAATCTCTAAGATCACCCCCTAAAAAGGACATTTCATGCCTGTGTTTGACATTTCCCACCTGAGTTCCTGAGGTGCGTGAGAGATGCCTGCACACGCAATGGAAAAATCCTCGCTCTTCACCAGGGCCGCTGCTCTGAAGCTCAGGCAACAGGCACCTCAGGGCTGCCCCTGAGGCCATAGCCACTCTGCTGCCCTCCACAGCTAACTCAGAGGAACGGATAAAAGGAGTCACTTAGCCAGAGAGGGAACAGGGTGCTGTCCCTGGGTCGGTGGCAGCGCAGTTTCGTAGGAGGCCCAGTGCCAGTGAGTGCCAGTGAGCACTTCCTGGAACACTGTGGGGCGGCAGGGTCCACTGGGCAGCCTGGGCTGCTGGACACTGGAGGACCATGCTTCCCATGGGCAGCTGACAAGAACTCAAGTCAAGGGCCTGCTTTACAGCTGGCTAAGCCAAGGCTGGAGAGGGTCCCTGCCTCACCCCAGATGCTGAGAAGTTCCATGGCATCTATCTGTACGCGTCACCATCGCCCCAGATGCTGAGAGGTTCCATGCCATCTATCTGTACCCGTCACCATCGCCCCAGGTGCTGGGAAGTTCCACGGCATCTATCTGTACCCGTCACCATCGCCCCAGATGCTGAGAAGTTCCACGGCATCTATCTGTACCCGTCACCATCGCCCCAGGTGCTGGGAAGTTCCACGGCATCTATCTGCACCCATCACCGCCACAATGAACATGCCCATCTCCCATAATCTGCATGTGTCAGCTGGGACCAGGAGGAAGCTGCCACTGCCCACCAGCGCCCTACACCAAGCTGCATCTACCAGGTCCTGGTCACCTCCTCCCTGCCAGTCCCTCAAAAGGAGCAAGCATCATCACGCCAGTTAACAGGTGAAAAGGCTGAGACAGGAACATCACAAGCTGGGAGGCCTCAGAGGGCCAGAGCCCAGGGCTACCAGCCCATCCTGTCCTCACTGTTGCCTCAAGGCAGGGCCAGGGCCTGGTCAGCTCAGGCTGGGGCACGACAAACAACTGGGCCTGTGGCCTGCAGGGCCCCAGTGCCCACCCGTGCCCTGGCAGGGCCGGGCACAGTGAGAGCCTGGTCAGCCCCCCAGGTTCTGTGTGAGGTGAAGTAGCAGGTAGCAGGGCCAGACTACGAGGCCGCACTGCCCAGGCACACATCCCCTACGAGTCCCCCGCACCAGGCAGAAGCACGTGATGGCACGTGAGTTGGCATTACAGGCAGAATGCAGTCACCCCAAGATCCACAGCCCCAAGGGACAGACTCCGACTTCTAGCTCCTCACGATGGTTCAGCAGTGACATGGATGTCCCCTGTGCCCCAGATTCCAGACCACACCAGGTAGGGTCCTCTACAGATCATGCAAGGCATCTGTATGTCACTTGCAGATAATCCAAGACACTGGTTACTCGGCCATCCTGGGGCACACCTGCCCAGAACACTTGGATGTCACCATACCCACACGACAACTGCCAAGGAGAAGTCCCCTCCCCACACCTTGCCAGCTCCTGATGGACTCAGCAGGAGGCTGGAGCCTGGGATGGGAAGGGGTTTTCTCAAAGTGCACTCACGACTCCAGGTTATCAAGGCCTGGCTGCAAGTATGCAGACAACAGCTCCAGAACGGTGCCAAGAGCTGCAGCCACATATCGCACACATACACTGAAGCACAGGCCTGGCCTGGCAACTGGAGCCATCCACTTGCGAGTAAAGGGTGTGTAGTATGCCCCCTTGGAGACCTCCAGCAGCTGAACCAGACGGCACCCGTCCTGGGTCTCCCAGTTGTCACCAAGATGAGGATGCTAAGAAAGCACCACCTTCTAGTCGCAGACTCCAGCCTTGGGCTCAGCCACTCGTAGCAGCCACAGCACGTGCGCCGGGGGCAAGGCTGTTTTTGACAAACCTGAGGCCTCAGCGCTCAGACTCACCCTTTCTGCACAAGCCAGAGGGTGGAACCTCAGGAGGGTGAGAGACCCCAGGGCCAACCCAAGGTGTCAGGATCCTGTAAGCTTTGAGACTCACAGGAATTAAAAAAATTGTGCTCTGAATGTTACTTTTTCAGGCAAGAACAGGCTCAACCAGCTCCTAGCTCCCAGGTGCAGGTACAAGGGACCCTCCAGGGCCTTGATGACCAGCGCAGAGTAGGGGTACACATAATGACCTCACTACTCAGCCAACTGCTTCCAAATCCTGAGCCTAAAGAGCAGCTTCAGGCAAGTCCTCCGGAGGCAGCTCTGGACACACCCTGGGGCCTGGTGATTTGGAGGAACACGGCCCTTGCCCACCAAGAGCTGGGCCCACCCATCACAAGGGCAGAGGACAGTTGGCCATGATGCGGTTTCACTGGCCCCACCTGGCATGCTGTGGCTCACTACCCCCCAGGGGAGGCTGTGCCACCGTAAACCAGGAAGTGGCCGAGGCAATCCAGGAGGCCGGGGCCCAGCGAGGCTCCCAGCCAGACAGGCGCTCTCGCGAGCTGGCTGCAGAAGCAGCAGGCCTGGCTTTCCCTTCCCACACTCCCCCACTTTCACTTTCTGTGGATGCCTGCTTCCGAATAAGTCTACAGGAGGGAGGAGTGTTTACCAATCTGGTCCGCTACTCCAACCTCACTTCCCAGGCGGGCGCAGTTGAAGGCAGGCAATTACTCTACTTGCTAAAAACATAGCAAAAGACAAACGTGTGCACTGTCCACCCCGAGGAAGCTTTTCACTTCCCTCCCTAAAAACGCAGGGTTAGGACCCATCTCAAACATGGCTTGGATTGTCTCGGAAAAGCCTGAGGTTACCAGAGAGGTCAGAAAGAAATGCTCCCCCTCCCCAGAGTCCTGTGCCTTATCTCCCCTGATCTGTGGCCAGCAGCACACATCCAGGCCTAACCTGGGAGAGAGCAAACTCGAACCTTTATTTGCAAATAAGAGGCTGCCGTAGGGCAAAAAGGACACCCCCACCCCCACCTAGGAAAGGTCCCTAAGTCCTGAGGTTGGTCCTGGCAGGGCACTCAGGCCTCTCCTAAACCCTGCCAACCGCCTCTAGCAAATGAGACCCCCAAGACAGCGCCAAACAACACCGCACAGATTCCAGGACCTCCCCAGGGGCACGCCGGGAACCCAGAAAAAATCTCCACCCTAAAGGAAAAAGGCTTCAAAACGGCAGAGAAAAAAGACGACTACGTCGTTCTTGTCTTCACCAGGGGGTGCAAAGAGGTCTGTGATTCACTCACTAGTTCCAACCGTTAGCTGATCCACTGATGCACCCCCACCCCATAACTTCTGTAGACAAAAACCAAGTTTAATGTTCTGGAGGAGGGCACCAACTACGCTCCCCTCTGTAACAAACACTGGACCAAAATTTGGGACTGCACATACCCGCGATTGGGCCTAGCTCCAATCGCGGGAACTCGCGACAGACCACGGGACCCGCCTCCAAGGGGCGGTTGGAGCACCCCGTTTTCCGAGAGCTGGGGCTGCCCAAGGCCCCCACCGCGGGCTTGCGGTGTGGACACGGTGAGGCGAGACGTCCCGAAGTCCCCAGCTTTATTCACAAGCAGCGCCCCCGGCACGGACGACGTTTGGGCGCGAGTTTCTGCCCCGATGGGATGGACCACGTCGTCACGAAGATGCCCACCCCGAGGAGAAGGAGGGCAGCGCCCCCGCCCCGCCCGCCTCACTCGACCTCGCTGGATCTGGCGCTCTTCGGGCTGACTTCGACTGGGAATAGGGCTGCTTGTCCGACCCGGCCGGGCAGGGATCCGGCAACTCTCAGGGGCGCAAAGTCGTTTCCGCGCCCGCAACTCCGGGGGCCACCGCCCCCGACCACGCCGCCGTCCTCGGTCCCCGCCCCGGCCTGGGCAGCGCGGCA